CGAGTTAGTGCCTTTGCAGCACCTGGGATCATCATGTCTTTTCCTATTTTGTACAAGATTTACGCATGCTACTGTGGCGCCAATACCTATCCACCTCACTACTGTGATTCTGCTGTGATCTGGCCGAAGCAATTTTTAACGTGCATTATCTCCATAATTTTCTACGTCTCACGCTTTCCTGAGTACTTCTACCCCGGAAAATTTGACTACTTTGGGCACAGCCACAATGTCTTTCATATTGGTGCACTTCTTGGTCTTCATTACCAAAAACTCGCGCTTTCACTTGACTTGGAATTCGCCAAGGCGCACCAGATAGCCAAAGTTTCATTGAAAATACCTCTTTTTGGTTTTTCATTCCTTTTCATATTCATTTTCCTAACTTGCATATATTTCCGCCACCTTTTTGCCGCAAAACCCTCCTACAAATCCAGGCGTTTGTAATTGACTTTCTAAAGTTTCCTTTATGTATGTTTGCCTTTTTTTTTGAAATTCATGATGATATGCCTCATTTTGGCTTATCGGACTGTGTAACTTGGTAGGTTATTTGGGAGTGAGGGGTGAGGTGTCCATCGTTGACTCTTCACGTTGATTTTGTTTTGTATAATTATTCCTTGGGGACCCATTTTTGGATTTGCCTGAAATACTTGCGTTAGTGTGCCAAATTTGTGTAAATTATCATTAAAGTGTGGTCTGCTACAATCAATTTGTCAGGGAAAACACCCTCCTCACTCGCCCGAAGCTGCGGCAGTGCTGATAGGCTTGTGGGCTTAGAGAAATCTAAATATAGTGCGGATGACTTTGTGGAAATATGGTGATTAAAATCGTTCTTGGGTTATCGTTTTCTTGCCTCGAAGTGAGTCACTACTACGGTGCTTTTCCAAAGGCAGTATACACTCATTTTCAGCCTTTCTCTATCCCCTACTAGAGTCACGGTATGAGTTGGTCGCTGTTTCCACTGATAAACTCCTGGAGGAGGGTGTCGCGGATAGCGTTTTGCGTTCACCACCAATTCTTTAGCTCCGTTCCAATTGAGGTCGCGGAGATACCGCGCGCGAATACCATCGCCTGGGTGCAGTCTATTCGTCGGCACAAGACCAAAACCTTCCTCAATGTCAATGATGGCACTTCACCTAATGACCTGCAGGTGCGTTTGGCTGGGTTCCCTTCCAAAATAATTGGACTAGCCACTGGCGTCATTTCTTTGTCACCCGCTTTCAAGAGCTTGAGCATGTGGTTAATGCTGGAGCGAATAATTTCTTATTTGACTGGCACTGTCTCCTCAACTAGAGACGGTTATATGCTTTTTATCTATCGCCCTTGTCTCTCTAACAGAAAATTTTTATTTAGTATTATTAAAATAATTATTGAAGGGTCCTAGTAACCTTTAATGCAAGAGATTTACCTATCTTTGGAAAAAGTAGCTAAATACAATTTAAACCGGGTCAATAGATGCAAATGTTTGTTCCTTAAATCTCTAATAAATGTCAAATTGCTACTCCAATAAAAAAGCATACGATTTTCTCTTGAGATACTTATTCCAGCAATAACCGAAAAGTTGGAAAAAGTAGCAGGAAACTAAGTCCCACTAGTTCAGTCCATGTATTAAGTATCTTTTAATTTTATGGCAAACTGGAAACACCTTTTTAGGATATCACCCCGTGTATTCTTTCCAACTTTATCACATACCTGCCTTTCACCGGTGGAAGCAAAGCTTTTGCTGTTTGCGATAACAACCTATGGCGAAACATAACGCTTTTCTTTGTGACATTTAAGAGGGATGGATTCCTAATTACATATCACCGATGAAGTGCTTCAACGCGACTAGCGCAAGATCACAGAATGGATGTTGCCTTGTTCTTGGCATTAGGGAGATTTTTTCCGTTGTTCAAATCTGGTTGGGTGGAGTCGTGACTACTTAGTGGTGCTGTGCTAGCGATAGGAATTTGGTGTGCTTATGTGATACCTTACCTCCAAAAGGCGTTTGTTTTCCAGTGGCAGTGGTAAAAGTGTGCCGAAATTGCTACAGAAAAACGTGACAAAAATAGCAACCCTACGGAAGCTATTCAAACCTTGATTGTTTGAATGAAATACTCTTCTGATTCTTGAAACGCAGTACTACCTCCGTTGAAGCCTTTTTTTGTTGAAATTGTTGTGTAGGAAAGGATGTTTTAAAAAAGGTGTTTCCTAAAATGTTTATGTTAGGAAACATCATATTCAGTTTCGTTTTGCCCGATAAATTGAAGGTTGATAAGTCCACTTATTTATGCAATACAACTGTCGGTGATGAAAGAAGAGATCTTTTTCTAGAACTTTTACAATAGATGAATGCAGACATGTCATTAAAACTCACATAATACAGTACAAGCGAGTGTTTCTGTTCCATAAATTGAGTCGCTCAAATTGGTTCAAAATAAGCAACAATCGCTGGACGGTGCGGTGCTACCAATGAAAATTTAACGTGTGTGATGTACTGCTCTCGGGAAAAAGAGGATTCTTTTTTGGTGGTGGAAGAAAATTATTGCTTCCATTGCAGGAAAACAATCGAAAATGCTATTCTTGGGAGTGAGTGACTGAAAAAGTCTCATCTACAAAATCCTGATCATTCAAGTTAACATCCACTCTGACCTTTGAATTCTAAAGTCACATTTGCCAAGACTACTGAGCAAAAAGCTTCTTTGTTTCCCCACCCCTTTTCTGTTAAAATGAAATTTTTCTGGGAAGGTGGCGATAGTTTTTGATGGTAGGTTGTATCTATTTTATGCAATCGAGTACGAGTTCCCCTAATCAAACCTGCTATTATTTTTACAAAGCGTACTTTATTCCTTTGCTGGTCAGATGTTGATGAAATCGTAAAGGGAGTAAGCATTCTCAATTTCCTTTAGTGCTAGGCAGCTGTCGCCCATCAACTTTGACAGTGACCGTTAATTTAATTCATGTTAATCTGAATTAACTTCAGTGCTCTTGCTTTTTGTCATTGAAAATAACCTTTAAGCATTACTTTAAAATGGCGCTTTTTGTTGCTCGATGAAGGGAGATTGTGCGAAAAATTCAGTGCTAAGTTTTGCTAACCACAGAAAAAGGCATTGCCGTAACGTTGATAATCACTCGGGCCATACTTACTAAGGCAAATTGAACAGAAACCGGTTTCCTTTCTTGATTCAATATTCGTGCCTATTTTTCCTTCTTGTTAAATTGCTTCGAGGAGTGAGCGCTGGTAGGTTCTACCGCATCACTGTTCACAGTTATCAGCGTATTTTATCTGAAAGTAAACCAAAGGTGGCACAAAGGTGTAATTCTCCTTAAGCTTGAACAATTTTTGTGACAAATTTGATGGTTTCCTCTCAGTGTTTATGAAAAGTAGCTTAGAGAGAATATGCCTTTCATTGACCGTGAGACGATATTCGGCACACTCCAAACACCATTTCTCATCACTTCCGTTCCTGTATATTTGATTTCTTGCTCGATCGCAATAATTTTCTCCCCTTATTATCGAATTCAAAAACAATAGGTTTTTGTTAATAAATTTTCATTAGATTTTGGTTTGTCTGATCGATTTCGTGCTGCTTTATCTTGTAGGCGACCATAAAATCCCGAATTAGAGCATTCTTACCAATTTTTATTCGACTAACAATTGTGCAACAAGTTTTGGTTTCCCCTGACGTCACTGGTGAAAAATGACTCTTGAGCATATTCTTTCAGATTCCATTGAATGTATGCTATCCTTTCGCTAGGCATCGAATTCCAACTTGGCACCATGAATAGTAGTCTAGGCTAGAGGTGTGATACTAATTTCAAAAGGAACAAAGTGAATAATTTACTTTTGTTTTTCCGCCTGTTACCTCTGTTCTAATGTAAACAGATGCCCCTGGATTGTTCGCGGCAAGCAGTAAAATGATACATTTACCCTCTTTTAGTCGCTTGTCAATTAATGCAATGGTAAACCGGATATTTTTGATGTCTTGATGATGTTAACTCTATTACAACATATACAGACGATCTGACTTTAATGATGCGTGCAGCGAAATAGAGGGCTAGAGACAATTTTCCGATTTTGCGATTTTTTAATTTTTTTTATTCACAACATTTAAATGAATCGCACTTTAAGGATCCACTTCCTTTTATATCTACCAGATGCGACTTTTTTATTTACTACCACAATGCCGTAATCCACTTGTATCGATGAGTATGTGTACCATCATATTTTGTGAGTGGTTAATCCTTCCCGGATTTCCTGATTGCCTCCATACAACTTCATGTGATGCTTTCATGTCCTTCTGTGAGTATGCTAACCGAACGTAAATTGCAAGACTAAAGTTCATAACAATTTATTGTAAGAAGTACAGACTTGAGCAAAATCCAAATCCCATTTGCAATCACCGCGCAATATTTAAACTGTACTTGTGGAGAAGGAGCGAATCCTAGCTAATGAGATTTAGGTTGACTATGCTTCTGGGAGTCGCAAGTCATTATTCATAACTTAAATTACCCGGTCCTTTGTGGCTGTTTTGCACCTCTGAAACCTACCTACCATATATCCGCTTACTACTTGAGCCAATTGCGAGCAGTATCGTAGAGCTATGTGAATTCATTTGCAGATATTCTATGAGTCATGCGATTCGTTGAGGTCATTTCCTCCTTCAAAATAGAAGATTTTGTAAACTGGTTTTGTTTACGTCATGAACACGCACAATGTTGCTGTGATGCATGAACTTGCGCTATTTTACTGGTTCACGTATTTCTTTATAGCTTCCCAGTAGTTGCAACATCTCCCAATGAGTTTAGGGAAAATAGATTCAGTAAATCCATATAATCTATTTGGTTTGGGTAACTGTTTACCATTCTGAAACGCGATGTTAAAAAAAAGCGATGAATACCTCTGGACCAATTTCACACAGAATGACCCATAAACGAACAGCTCCGTATGTGTTCTCCCGCGCGCCTCTAGGTGAAATAAGTGCCTCTCGATGTGGTCTAGACTTTCTGGCAGGCTGCCAGGGCGAGATTTTCTCACACGCTAATCAGGAGTTTGTGTCCCAGCTAGGTGAGGTGAGGGTCTTATCCGTGTAGTAGGAATTAAACAATATGAATGTCTGCTTGAGCGCATCCCCTAATCCATGACAATCAAGCAAAGGGTTTTTTTCTTTAGTGAGCATGCATATTCACATTTTGCTTGCTGCTAGATGTTGATGAAAGTCAGATCCGTCTGAAAAAATTGCTATAACACCAATTCTTGCATTTATAATTAATCGTATTACTGTTTAAAAATCTTGTATACAGGGGCTTTATTGATGAATGAAGAGTAATGGCAAGACCCAAGCTTTCACTAAATTTTGATGCGTGTTAAGCTGTTGACAGCATTGGCATTTTGCATGCGTCGGGTTGGGACAAGCACTTCGATGTGATGTAGGCCTTAGAAGTAGGTATAAAGTTACACAGATGTCGTTCTTCCCCCATCATCACTGAACGATATGTAAACTATCATAGCGAAAATCCCCCACCAACCAAGCATTTACGCCCTGATTGGGTGTCAGTAGATCTCAATGGAATGTAAGCAATGTGATAGAAGTTAGGCTACCAAGAGATTGCATGTGAGAAGTTAAGCTGATGGAAGTCGTGACCTTCGATAAGCTGTGATTTGGTCTTCCTGTCGCTTGTTATTGCTTCTGCGCCCATTCAAGCTGTCTGCATGGCTTTGGAAGGGCAATTTGTGCTACTTAAATCTATGAAAGTTAAGGGCAATAATCAGCATAGAAAGTAACAATCTCTTCGCAGATAGAAGCAAAAGCAGGACCACCTACATTCACATGGCGTTCTTCCCTTACTTATACTGGAGGCTGTGCCATAAACTGGTGTCTGTGGTCACGGGCCTTAATCTTATCGAGTTCCAACCAAAGTACTCATTAGATAAGATCTGGCTACGGACGTCCTTATTTTCCTAGGGATACGTGTAAGCAAAGCAATACGATTTGTACGTAAAACATAACTGACTGGTTGGTAAAGACTACCGAGGGGGAGCAGTCACTCTAGTCTAACATATTAATAGCATACTATTGACCTTGGCCTAGTAGTGATTATTATTGCCCCTAAAGTACATTTGCATGTGATGCCGGCCGATTGGGAAGGAGTAAAGGAGCGAGCGACCTTCCAGATTGTCTGAAAATTAGTGATACAAATGGGAACTTCTAGAAAATCGAGAGAGGGGAGCTTTTTAAGGGTTGCAGGCATCCCCAACGCCATGATAGATCCCAAAAGGGCAAACTTCTTATGTGCCATCTAATTGCTTACTCCTAAAACAGATGCTGATACTTTTCTGGAAGTCTGTCGATCTCGAAAAAGTTCCATTGATATGAGCCATCACTAGTACAGCTAAGATGACTCTCGCCTACTGTCTTTGATTAACGGTGACATGATTTTGCACGTTTCTAGCTTGCCTGCAGTTCGAGATGCAGAACTCCGTAGATTCAAAAGAATCATCAATGCGAAAGTAATCTTGCAGTAGTGGATAGATGCATTTTAACCCCTTTCCCATATCAATGAGAGTTGTTTCTACCTCAAAAACAGATGCAATAGACATCCATGTTCATCTATACTATCACAGTCTAAGCAAACTCACATTCCTATCCAGGTGGTCTGTTCAACACCCAATGTGCCAGAAGGTCTGTCCGTGGGGTGTGCGGTCTATGTGGAGGGTCAGATGGTGCTTCACGGCCATTCGCATGCGCCAGAGGTTCGCGCAGAGAGCGTCCGTCTCCTTAGTCCTCCGGTAAATGCCATCACCGCAGAAGCCAGCCACATAGTGGGTGCAATGTCGCACTCGCGTCCTCGTCTCGGCCTCCTTCGCTCCGAACACGGACTCTTCTGGCGCCACCGCCTTCCCGAAATGGCTTCAATGCTTCGTCTTCGCGCCGCGTGCAAATCTATCGTCCGTCGCGTCCTTCAGACACGTGGTTACCTCGAGGTAGTGCGATTCCCTTCTGTTCTTTAGAGTTGTTTAATGATCATGAGTTTGCAGTGCTTCTCCCATCTACCGGAACTGTTAAATAGCATTCCTTTTCAGTTACTGTGGCTTCTCATAGCTATATAGTCGTTGCGGAAGTTCGGCACTAGAATTCGGAATTTTTCGGGCACAAGACTGGTTACATATGTGTTGGTTGTGGCGAGTAAATGGAATACTTCTAATTAAACAAAGAAGTCCACTTCTCTTTTGACATAGCATAAATTATCCGGTTCCTTGATTTAGACTCACTTTTCATCTACAATCCTTGGGCCCATTAATATGATGGATATACTACTGTTAATTGAAGTAATTTGTACCCCGACGTTTAAAGCTTGACAGGCGAATGATCTACTCGAAATTGTTTTAAAGCCATCTTAAAAATAGTCCGTCGATGAACTTTAAGGAGAAGTTTTGTATGTCTATGTAGATAGGATTTTCACTGATTTCGTTCAGAATTAAAGCCTTAAATTAGTCCTAAAGTATTGAATAGAGATCACAGAGCAAAGTGGGAACCCTTAGTCGCATTGTGTTTGCTGTAGGGTAAACCTTAATTCCACTTTAGATTACTTCTACCGACATTTCAGCCAATCACCATCATACGCTTTAATTTTTCTTTTTAAAAATTCTTTGAACAAGGCTTTATTTTATTGGAAGAACTGTAATTCTCCATCGAAGAAAAAGATTTTTGCATATTTATGGTATCAACTGAACGAATCAAGCCATACCTTTAAAACAGTATGGGATTGACAGTTCTACAATCCTGATCAAACGTTATAACGATTTGTTAAACCAGGCATCGTCACTTCTATAAAATTTCTACAATTTCTAGATTTCATGTGCAATTGATACATTATATTGGTTTTATGGCTATTGGTGGCATAATAGGTAACTCGCCAGCGATAATTGACAAGTCTCATGGCGTGCTATCGTGTTTTGGTCAGTTTGCCTCGGAGACGATGGAACAAATCATAGTAGCATTTTGTTATCAAGAGATTCCCGTACTCTGGACAGAAGGTGGTATTTTAATGTATTTGAAATATTTGGTTAAGTCTTCAGCATTCGTGAAGGAACAAAGGAAAGTGCGTGATGGGTCCGATTTTTCAAAGTGTTTTTTTTTCCACACTACCTCAAAGAGGTGTAATTGCAGTGAACTCTCCTCCACAATCTTTCAAAACTTTATTCTCTCTGACCCACCCGGAATTTCATTCGAATAAGCTTTTGGGTGGTAGAGGCACACTGGTGAAATAGAGATAAGGTAAATGGCATTGCTTTCTAGTTCACACGGCCCAGTTTTTTGGAAAGTAAGACACAATGATTGCACATGGCAACAGAACTTGCACCAGAGATGTCTTGCTGTTCTATTATCTCGTCTGCTTACTACCTGTCAATCACCCAGAATTGCTAACTCCTCCGAACTTCTTGTGACAGCCAAAATCCGTTCAAACTTACAAGTATTCCTTACAACTGTATCACTGCTGAAGTTTCCCCATCAAAGCAGCGGTAAAAATCAAATTAGTGAAGTACTATACACAGGTAATCTTC